CTAGAAACTGAAGCCCTTTCCCTGGGATATATTCTCAAGGGGCCACTTGACATATCCCAGCAGAGCACCTTCTCATGGGGCTGCAGCACCTTTCCTCAGCAGAGGACTCGTTACTGAACAGCCCTAGCCCTCACCCTCCAGCTCTCTCAGCCCCGGGTTCCCATTCCTTGAAAAAGGCAGTGTCAGATGTTCAAGTTCCCCACAGCTCTTCTGCACTGCTCTCTTCCACCATTTGGCTACTTGCTCCCTGATGTCAGCACCTGATGGCTAACATTTTTGGCCCAACACTTATCGGACCCCTTTAGAAGCCAGAGATCTCATGGATGAAATGTACATTTACTTTGGGGCCTTATGAAGCAGCTGCAGGTACTGTGTAGGATGCCACTGCCACCTGCATGGAGGCAGTCTCTCAGGAGCAAGGACACAGGGATGGGTTTCTCGCTTGAGGCTCTGAAAGCAAAGCCAATCCCAGAGATGCTGAACCTCTGATGAACATTATTGTAAGTAGAACCTGAGAGGTCCACGGTCAGTTTAGTTTCAGTGTAATGATGGAGCTGCTTGGCGGTAGTAGTAAAAATAGCAATTGTGGATCATAGCTCATGTCTGACAGGGCAAGCATCCCGTCGTAGTACCCCATTATTGGGTGGAACAAACCAGAGGATGGCACCTGGGCCTGACTATCCCCTGGGTAGGCAAATCCCTTTTAGATCCTGGCTGGAAGCAGCAGCTGCCTGAAGCAGGGACTCAACCTGGTGAGATGTGAGCCATGGGCTACCTCAGGACTCGGTCCTCCAGCCCGCACTTTTTAACATTCTTGTCAGCCACTTACACGAGGGGGTGGAAAGCATGCTGTGCTGATGACACTAAGATGTGGGGCGAGGCGGACACAGTTGAAGGGAGAGAGGCTGCAACTAGATTTAGACAGACTATAAAGCGGGCAGACGAGAATAGGATGGGGTTCAACGTAGATAAATGCAGGGTGCTGCACCTTGGGAGAAGGAATCCACAGCATACATACAGGCTGGGGAGTTCCCCTCTTGGAAGCACAGAGGCGGAAAGGGATCTTGGAGTCATTATTGACTCCAAGAGGAACATGAGCCGCCAATGCCAGACCGCAGCCAGCAAGGCCAGCCATACCTTGTCATGCATTCAAAGGTGCATCTCAAGCCAGTCCAGAGAGGTGATACTTCCCCTCTATGTGACTTTGGTCAGACGGCAGTTGGAGTACTGCATCCAGTACTGGGCGCCGCACTTCAAAAGGGATATGGTCAGCCTGGAGAGGGTTCAGAGGAGGGCCACCCGCTTGGTGAGAGGGCAGC